CTAGTGGCTAGTGCGCTTTAACTTCCATGTGGGCAAACCAAGCCCAGGCAGAAAATGGCAAGACTAACAGCCCTGCCTTTTGAAAGTCTCCCTGTAGCAAGACCAGGGAGCATAATGTGAAAGCACAGGTTGATACGTATTCACAGGTTGTCCCAGTGCCGTTCTGTGGGGAGATGGGCCTTCAGCTTCCATTCAGTCTTTTCATGCTCCTCTGAGGATACAGCCAGGGAGCCAATTAGCACTAACGATGGCAGAGGTGATTTAGTGGTATGGGCACTTGTGTATAAGAAAATGACGGGTGCTGTCAGATCAGTGGAATAAAAAATCATTCCTGGAGCAGCCCAGTCATGCCAGTTAGCTAGAGGCATCAGGTGTCCAGAGAGACGAACTGCAGATCCTGACCTAAATTTAGCCTGATGAGTTTTTTGGGTTTTTTTTCAATTTTGTTCATTACTGTGCTGTAGTGCTCTTATCCAGCAAAGCATTGAGGTATACACATAATTCAAAGCACATCCACATCCTGTTGTTCGTATACTTAAAATTACAGATGTGCTTATCTGAATTGCTAGACAAAAGACAAGGAGCCTTACACGCTCATCTCAAACACCCAAAACTCTTTTGGCCACACATCCCACAAAGCCAAGATGCTGACAGTAGCATAGGAACTACTCACAGTCCTTTGGGAACTGTAAATGGTAGGATGGTAACTGCACAGCCACATATATAACTGTTGTGTACATCTCTGCATAGATAAACACGTACACAAATACTAACTACATCAGTATGTCCCAAATACATACCTACACAGATTGCCCTCCCTGTCTCTTCAGCCAGGTCACTTTGAATCACTGAAATCTCGTGGATGCAGCAGGGTTCAGGGCGTGGGGAGAGGGAGAAATCAAGACTGGCAATTTTTAACTTTTGCATTTCCTGTAAGAATTTGTCTCATCTTCCTCTTTTCTATGCCTTTCTTTTCACTTCTAGATCCTTCACCCCTGTATGAATTTTCAGTAGATGCTCCAAGATCTCACGCTTTCCCTCTGGGTGAGGGAATGATTCTGCTCGTGGATTTTCTGCGCAGACTGTCACCATCTCTTCCATCTGTCTTTCCAAAAAGAAATTTCAGTTTCTTCACAGTCCCACACTGGTGCTCACAGGTACACCTCTATTTGCAGCTTTGCTCTGCAAAATTACCTCTGTGCCTCATTAAAGCACCTTAGAAACTTCCACAAACAGCACCGGAGTCTGCTTCTGTAGGTTCTGAAACTGCTTAAGACTCTGGAAGACACCAGACTCATGAAGAATTTACGAAATAGAGTAAACAGGGTCTATGCATAAGGGTCTGTGCCTACAATCTCCTTTCTGGCCCACAATTTAAGACCTAGCATCTTTAATCCCCACTTCCTTCAGGAGTACTTCAGGAGGACCAGGCCATTAGTTAGTACCTTTTCAAGGGGTAATTCTAATTAGATTCCTCATAAGATATGAGGTACCTTACTAGATGCCCTATAAGGGGACATACATTCATTCATTATGGAAGTACATTTTACACCCAACCAAAGAAGAACACAGCTTATCAAAACTGAGCATGCAAACAATTGAAGGACATGGAGAGAAGAGAAAAAGAAAACCGTGCTGAGAGCCGTAGAGCTCCCACTGATCTGTTGTGCAAAGCTCATTTTTTAAAGACTGGAAATAAGTGCGGGAAGGTCTCTGAGCTTTAGGCTAGAGGATGTGAATAAATGAAGGAGAGTGACTTTTTATTCATTTAATTTCTGGTTTCTTTGAAGTATTGGCGGAAAATTTGGATATTCTGAGATGTAACTGGTTTGCTCACTCTCTTCCACAGAAAAATTCATTCAGTAGACAAACAATTATATTTTATCCTACCTGCCTGTTTAAAATTACACTGTATTGTAGAGCAGCTGTAGTTAATGGGGCTGTGACATCTCAGCCAGATTAGACAAATTTAATTCAGATACTACAACGTAAATGTGACTACTTTGCTTTCAATGTGACCGTCAAAGAAGCCAGGAAGTGGATGTGTGCCTTTATTTCTTTAGAGGGTATGAGCAAGGCTCAGAAGATGGCTTTAGATACTAAAGCTTTTTAGATTAGAATTGTTTCATGTCATTTTCTTCAGGCATTAAGAGTTATCAGCAATTGGCTTCCCTGCTTCTTTTCTTTACTAGAGAAATACAGGACCGCTGTACAATAGAAGAGTTTACATTGACTCAAATAATAGCAAAATTATGGTATTGCAAGAGTCAAGAGAATGACAATGGGGAAAGATGGAGAGTGTTAAAATGGTCTAGTTACATTCATTTAAGTCCATTCACTGCTGAGCATTGGAGATGAAAAAGAATATTTTTGCTAAACATTCAGCATCACTGTCTTCAGAGGAGCTGCAGCAGCAGCAGCATCCATGTCACGTTTACCAGGCACACTAAACTTCCTCTGGCAAGATCAGGAACACCAAACCCACACCGTAGCTCCTCCATGCTTGGAAAATATAATGAAAAAAAAAAAAGGGACTGATTTTCGTATCTGTTTGTTTGTGTTAGTATTGGCAAACAATATCATGTTTCCAGCCTTTCTCAAAATACCCTGAAACTGATACCCAGAAAGGGTAATTTGCAAAATCTTTTAACAAATGCCAGCTCTGGCAAGGCAGGGCACCACAGACTCCAGAGCATGCTCCTTTCCTGGCCCCAGCTGCCACAGCGACCCCCTGCCTGATCTTCTCTTTCAGTGCAAGTCCTGACTCTCCTCCCTCCTTCAGCCCGGAGGCATCAGGGATGGAGGAGCTTTATGCTGGAGCTGGAATCACACACTCCTTCCATGCTGGGCCGCTAGTTTTCCAGCAGCAACAAGACGGAGCAGCTGAGAAGACCCATCAGCATTTACACCAGAGACAAGATGTTCATTTCTCATAAACCTCCACAGATTCTCAGAGGAACATGAAGTCATTAGCAATCGCTCTACACTAGTAACAGCCCAGATTATCTCAGCACATGATCTGAAAATCCTTGGGTTTCCCTGCAATCCGGTATCCCACCTTTCCCTTGCCTCCCAATCGGATGGACTCCATGGGCAAGGGGACAGACTAGCCCAGGGGACTGTACAATGCTCGTAACAAAAGGACAGAGGGTCACCACCCCAAAGTCTCATCACAACCAAATTTGGCCTTCCGAGAGAGGCATCCTTCCTTCAAAGCATATCCAAGCTCCAGCTTCTTTTCCTCCAGCAAAAAAAAAAAAAAAAAAAGAAAGGAAAACTTTGGCTAAAGTGAAGTTAAATAGTCTTTTTAGATTTTTATGACTTGGAGAAAAAAATGTTTCCTAAATCTGCTTTGCAATTCAAGACAGGTAGCGGCAACGTGCCACGAGAAGCTGGGCAGTGAGGGCACAGAAATGCCACCAGGAGCTCAGGAGGAGAGCAAGCGATGCAGGTCAAGGGAGGGATGGGGGCAAACCCCGGTGAAGAGGCAGGGGTGGCAGAGGGCGAGCAGAGTGGCTCGGACGGGGCAGGACGCTGAGAGCAAGGCACAGTTGTAGGGACTTCAGTTTGGGCTCAGAAATGGCAGCTGAGATTTGAGGGAAAAGCACAGAGAAGGGATGCCAGGACCCTGACGGGCACCAGGCATCAGCGCGAAAGGGGTGAGGACCCCACCACCCCCTGCCACAGACCCCCCCAGCCCCGCTCTCCCTGCTGCAAGGGTGCTGGGCTCCCAGCCCACCCCAAAGGAGATTTCATCATAACTCATAATGAGGTCGTCTTCTTTCATGCGAGTGTTTCCATGGCAACGAAGAGGCGATTCTAATCTCCAGTATAAAAGACGCAGCGAAAATGACATGGTTTGGGGTTTTTTGGGGGGGGAGGAGAGAGGTTGTTGTTGCAGCTGCGAGCAGCCCTCCCTGGGCTGCAGCATCCCCCCCACCCCAGTTGGCAGCCCCCCGTCAGCAGCGTGTGGCCAGCACCACCACATGGCCACAGCCACCCCCAGCCCTGCAGGTCACCGGTCACAGCCACATCTGCAGCAGGGCAAGGGGACAAGAGTCAGAGGAGAGCTCAGGAGACAGCGCAGGGAAGCGGGGTCCCCCCCCTCGCTGAGGTGGTCTCTATCATCAGCACCAGCACTTCAGGTTGCTGGGAGCAGACGGAAACAAAACTGGGATACAAGTGGACCTGTGCTTTAATCTGGTGGGGTGCAATCCCAAGGGGCGACTGCTGTCCTCTTCCTCCAGGCTCTGCCAGGGAACTGGGAAGCACACCTACCTCCAAGGCTCACTCCCAGACTGGGAAATTTAATGTGTGGACTTTGGAGGACAGCAGTCCTGTGGACAGACTGCTCTCAGATACAGGGGTGATTGGAACCACTATGATTATTATTCCCCCTCTCCTGGCATTAGGATATAGCACAGGGCTATATCCTAGTTCATGATGTGTGGTTTGCAATGGCTTAGCAGGGCTATTGAGCAGCAAACACCCCCCCTCAGCTTTACGATGACAGTCAAGAGGGGAAAATACACCGTGCTTCATTCACTGCAGCCTAAAGCAGTCCCGGAGAAAAAAGCAGTATGTAGAACAAGTAGATCAGCACATAAAAGGGGAAAGCACGAGACTTGGAGCAGGGCTCCTAGGCAGTCTGGTAATAGAAGAAGTACAAGTTATATATATAAGTAGTTGCTTCAGAAACAGCAACCTGTGTGTGCCAGGTGAACACCAATACCAGCACTGTGGTACTAATACCATTTCTGGAGCTCACTGTCACTGGCACCCATGAAAAACAAGACTTCCATTTTCTCTGGCCACGTCCTGCAATAATATCTCTCGTTTCCCTACTTGTGACAGTAACACTGCTATCATCTCAGTACCTTATTCAGGCCTGCAAAAAGGTCTACTTCAGACCTCACGTTAAGAGTAGCCAGAACCCCAAGACCAGGCTCTGCATTCACAGCACCATTCTTCAAAACAAACAAAAAAATCCACACGACACCTTTAGGAGTTTTATTACCAAATAATTCTTTTTACTTTCTTAGAAATTACAAAGAAACTCTCTCCAGGAGAGCAAGGAAAAAACCCAAAACCCTAAAATATTTCCAAGCAATTCTGTTCCATATAAACCCAAGCATAGTTACATATTTCACTCACATGCATGTACAAAAACATTTGAAGTAAAACAACCTTCACACATAACATGTGCATTAGTCTCAGAATTGAGCACATAATCAGATTGGCCTCACCTACCCTACCTAATCTTATTTTCCTGTTTTCTTTTTAAATTGTAAATTTCTATGCAGGAAACATCTCTTTTTCTGCACAGCATTATGCATATTCAAATTAGCACGGATGGTCTTGGAATTAAATCACTAGGTAGCACAGTCTGATATACAGCTGTATACTGAAGTTGTTACACTGCTGTTTATACAGTGCGCTTTGTTGGATACCAGGCAAAACTCTTCAAAAGGAATAAAAAGGTATTGCTAGAGGGAAAAAGGAATATGATACATAGCGCTCTCTCAACTACAATCTTGTATTATTCCCATGCAAAACACTTCAAAAGCCAAGTAATTCACAGATCTTGCTCTCCAAATTGATATCAAAGTTCCCACCAATTTCAATCATAGCAATATAAATCACTAAAGACATCAATGCTACTGGATATGGACGTGGTCAATACTCAATATTCCAATTTGTCACCCACCCACCTTTGGAAAGAGAAGGGAGAAAGATGAAAGAACCAACGAAACTGCAGACGAGTGAAGCGGGTGGGTTGGCAGAGCGCTTCACCAGCCACCAGCAAAAAACAACAACCGCGGGAGCTGAGCTCCATTCCAACCCACTGCATAATATAACTGTGGCTTGAAATTTGAGGATTACATGGTCAATGAACTCCTCACGAGTTGCCCAAGGCTGCATTAACACCTAGAAAAATCGTATTTGATTCATCAAAAGAGCATATTGTCTGTATCTGACTTTGTGAGCTAGATTTGAGATTTCACTATTTCATGCATGATGAACACAACCGTAAATCTAAGGACGGTAAACATTTGGAGCGGGAGGGCTCACCCAGAAGGTAAAGCTTCCATATGCATAAAAGGAAACATCAAGCACACAAATGTCAGAAGCAACACCTAACTTAACGGGGGGAATGGGAGGTACAGATTTTACTCTGCCATCATTTTTAAATGTGCAAGTGATGCATTTCTCATCTCTGCACAAACACACATCTTAAAAAGAATCAGTATCACCTCTCTCTTACGCTGCAACAACACAGCTGAATCCATGGAGGGTGAATTTCCACTGTATTTAAATATACTCAAAGCACTCAGGCTTGGCTTGTTGCAGAGTGTGTGTGTTACAGAGTGAAATGGGTGTGGAAAAGGGTTGTGAAATATAAAAATACAATTAAAAGTAAGACAGAACATCTGTACACAAGCAATACAAAGAAAGCACTTAAGATTGATGCTTAGAAGATCTAACCAAAGCCCTAGAGCACAGCAGATTTTCATTTTTAGCCCACTTGGAATCTTTCAAATGAGCAAGTGATGCTGGCAGCAGCCACTTGTCCTCTGCCTCCTCAAAACAGTGCAAGGGACTCAGGTGCCCCGGCCTCAAGAATACTTTACTACAACAGTTTGGCAAAGCATCTACAGAGAAAGGCCCAATGACAGGTGTTCTCACATAGTATCAAAGACACAAGGGCCGAGCCTCCAGGCCCCAGCCTTGCACATTGTGTGTGTTGTGGAGAACACTGGATCTGCTGGTTTAGGTAAGATGGACAGTCTGCTTTTAGCCCAGTACTACCATTTTAATGGCGAGCTCTACAAAACGTGTATGAGAGAAAAAGCACTAGCCCAGTAGGAGGAAGTCTCCTCTGACTCCCAGACAGGAAGGTGTTACAGTCAGGTCACTTAACTCAGACCCTGATGGCATGGATGTCTTCAGCTGAGGTAGTCAAGTTGAACTCACTTTATGGGCACACAAAGGAAAAATAGACATTTCTAAAAATGCCATCCATCTGAGCGGCTTTATACTTCTACTTCACAGCCAGATGAACAGTGACCTAAGAATGACTACTTCTCTTCAGCTACAAATGGGGCCCAGAGGAACAAATTTAGCTGCAGACATCTAAAGCTGAGTGAGAAGACACCATCCCAAATGCATGCCTTGTACTTGGGCAGTTGAACAGCACAACTGTGCTGTATTTCTTCATAAGCGGTTTTCCTTAGAACCAGTATCATAAAGGTCAGTAACATTTCAGTGTCCATCTAAGCATTCTCCAGCCAGCGACAGTCCCACCCAAATGGAAGAAAAGCTCACAACTCTCACAAAACTCTCTGAAGGAACACAGTGCCTTTTTTGAATAGTAACTAAATCTCAAACACACTTCTAAGAGGCAAATACTACTATTCTCTTTTTTTACAGCTGAGAAAACAGGGACATTGCAGCATGCCTAATGGTGACTCAGAGGGAATCAAAAGAAAGATTTCCTGATAAGCTGGTCCACTGTTCTACTACTGACTAGGCTTCAAATAGCTAGAATTTACCCCCCAGGAGAAATCTTTAAAACTTCAATGGACAATTTAACTCCGATGTCTATTAAAAAAAGCCTGTGGTCACACATTCTTATTAGACACTGAGGAATTTTATGTTTGGCATCCTCTTCTATAAAGTGGAAAAGAAATATAGTTCGGAAAAAAGAATTAAAGCTAGGCATGTTATACAGAAACAAAAATACTATGCCTGGAGCTCATTCTTTGAAAAGATAAACTTGCAATTGTAAGGACAAATGGGAGGTTTGGTAAATCTCCCTCAAACATCCCAATGGGTTACAGGTATAAAGCCAGTTTAAGTGGCTGTTCATTCTTGATTCATGTTCGTTCTAGCTTTTTTGAGAGATACACTCACTGAATCAAGTTAAAGACTGAGTTGATCAACTGAGGATTGTGCAGAACAAAAAAAATGCCATCAGTCAGCTGAGCCATAAAAGCAAGCAGCAAAATAGATTCTGTTTCAGACTAAGTTGTCAAGATAACAACTTTGAATAGGAAACCTCTGCCAGCCTGAAGTTGCTGCACTCAATCCATTGAAAGCAAAGGAAAAGTCTGCACTGCCGGTACTGGCTCACACCAATAGTAAAAGCTCCTTTGATCTCTCCAGAAAACCATATCAACTTCCCTGACTAGATGATCAAGAAATCAACTAGAGAAGAAGCTCTGTGGGACTTGTTACTAACAAGGAAGAATTGGTGGAGAATCTGAAGGTCTTGGCTGCAGCAGACATGGAACTGTGGCATTTAAAATCCTGAGAAACGTGTACAAGCCTGAGTCCTGGACCTTTAGGGCAACATATTTTGGTTTATTCAAGGAACGCCTTGGCAGGGTCTCAGGAGGGACTGCCGTGGCCTCCCAAAGGGGACCAAGAATGCTGCCTTATCTTCAAAGAAAGTTTCCTCAAAGTAGAAGAACTGTCCTTTGTGATGAGAGGAAAGTAAAGCAGGTATGAGAGAAGACCAGCACAGATGATTGAGGAACTCCTGACTGAACTCAAACACACAGAAAAAAGTACACAGAGGTGGAAGTGAGGATGGACTGGCCAGCAGGGATACAGAGACACAGCCCAAGCATGCAGGGACAGTTAGGAAAGCCAAAACTCAGCTAGAGTTGAAACTGGTAAAAAATGTGAAGGCCTTTTTTAAATACACTGGAAGCAAAAGAAAGGTTAAACAAAACACGGGTTTACTCCTCAATGGTGCAGGCAACTTAGTGACAAAGGATGCACTTTGTAGCTTGAGGCTGATGTACTCAACACCTTTTTTGCCTGTTTTCACTGGTAAAGTCTGCCTTCAGGCCTGCCAGGTCCCTGGATCTACTGGCAGAGTGTTACCTACAGCAGAGGAAGACTGAGTTCACAAGAACTTAAGCCAATTGGACATACCTAAGTCCATGGAACCAGAGCGGATGGATCTGAAGGCACTGAAGGAACTGGCTGATAGCACTGTGAGGCCATCCTACACCATCTTTGTGAGCTCAGCAGCAGCAGGGATGGCTCCCCAACCTTATCCTTAAGACTGTTTTGTTGTCCACAATATTTGGCAAGACTGTAACCAGCACGCTGAGGGAAATTATTATTTCTCTCTATTCAGCACTTGTGAGACCATATCTGGAGGACTGCATTCACATTTGTGCTCCTCCTTACAGTAAGGGCACTGCAGCAATTTCTGTGGAAGACCACAAAGGTGGTTAGGGGGCTGCAGCACAGGACATACAAGGAGAGGCTGAGAGAGCTTGGTTTCTTCAGACTTGAGAAGAGCAAAGGCTAAAGAGAGATCTCATTGCATACAACCACTTGATGTGCAGGTTAGAGAACACAAGCGTCAGGCTCTTCTCAACGACAGACAGTGATAGAACGAGAGGCAATGAACGCAAGTTTGAACATGGGAAATTCTTTCTAGATGCAAGAATATATTTTTTCTTACTATGAGGGTAGTCAAATACGAGAAAAAGTTGCCCAAAGAGATATTCAAAAATCATCTGGACAAGGCCCTGAGCAACCTGCTCTAATTGGCTGTGCTTCAAGCAGGGGGCTGGACTACAGACTAGAAACCTCAAGACATCCCTTCAACCCAAATTATTCAGTGATTCTATGACATAGCAAATCTCCTCACAACTACTTTCCACTGGTAACATTCTCATTAATCCACCAAAGCAAGCCATGACACCATCAAATTTAGAAGATGATCTTCAATGTGATGAGTCAGGATGGAGTACAAAAGTCATTAAAGAGGGGAGCTGGGCACTTTACATCAAAAGGCTCATAATAATTTTATGCAAGGTCCCTGACACACCAGGGCCAGCCCCTATTTATGAATCATAGCCATCATAGTGCTCTCTCTGTTTCAAGTCTATCACATACCATCAGGATTAAATAAAAAGACTGTCTCTTTTCACATCTTCTTCATTTTTTTCTTGCAGCGCTGGTTGAAGACAGGTGAGGATCCCATCAGACTGTCAGCAGAATGAGAACCATAGCTGCTCTCAGAGCCATTGGGACTCTGTGGCATCCCAGCTTCGCTCATGCCTGACATAGGTTCCTCAAAGACATCACTGCCTAGGACCCCGTGGCCATGTACATTGGCCTCCTCATTTTCCTGTGGCTCCATTTTCACCTGTGCCAAGTTCCAGAGTGGGGAAGCATTCACCTCAGCCCCTAGAGTAAGAAAAAACACACAGATGTAACAGAGTAAAAAGACCAATTACAAACAGTGTGCAAATGTCTGGGACAGTAGCACTGGTAAAGAACAAGCAAAAAACAGAGCTACAAGTGAACTAAACTGGGGGGAAGGGGGGACGAAGAGCAAAGAGAGAGAGCACAAAACACACAAACCAGTGTGAAAAAATAAATTAAAAAAATCTGTTGGGTTTTTATTTTTTAATACTCCAGCAATTGCCACTCTAAAAAATATGATGCTATCCTTTCACAGCAATCCTCCATGAGGTTTTCTCCATGCAAAACAACAGCTTAAAGAGTCCATATCACCCTCCAGAAGGACTGTCTCAGCAGCAATGAGTACACCAACAATACATGGACACAGCCCTGCACAAGCAGAACTCGGAGACAGGCTAGAAGCCATTCATGATGATGAGGTCCCTGCAACATCAGCAACCTCCTTTAAGCTACGAGACATACTAGACTTCTGGTAGTTCTGCAGGGGAGGTGAAGGGAGAGGGCAGAGGACTAGGTCGATGAACAGTCTCAAATACCACTTCTAGCACTGGAATGCAGGGACATCTAAACTGCAGTCAGCCACCCGGCTGCCTGCCTCCTTGTACTCAACACCCAGGAGTTTCATCCCACCCTTCAGCAGAACAGAAAGAAACCCTCTTGGCTCAACCTCGCAGATACCCTGCTGGGAAATAGCATCCCCCACTCCTTCTTCCTTCTTTTTTTTTCTTGTTTTTTAAACTTTTGGAGTGGTGTGCAATCTGAGCAGATTGAGGATTTTCTGTACAAGATTACAAAACCATATTTCTTGATAACAGCAAATGTTTTTCTTCCCAAGAGCAGTAATTACAGATTGCGTTATTTCTGCTTATTTACAGTTTTAAGAGAGACAAAAATCCTATTAAAAATACACTAATTGGGCCCCTTGCTGAGATGGGCATAAACAGCCCAGAACTGAACAAAGCCTGAAATCTTCTCACTTTTAAATCTGGTCCCTCTTGTGTGGGGTTAAATTCACATGGAAAATAAAAAACCTAGGAAACCAGTTTTAGTGGGTTTTCCAAACCTTTTGTCTCAAGGAGCTTGGCTACAGTTTGAAAGCACAACCAAACCTCTTGTACTGAGCCAAACCTCCTACTGTTTCCTATTATCAATATACAACTAACAATAGTTCCTTATTAAAGCAATTACACAGAGATCAAATCTTCTACCACATATTTGTACTGTGAATTCTCCCTTATGAAGAAATCAGGAATCTTTTTTCCAGAGCAGCTTAGCCCAAACCAGTGAGACCTTTGTGGTAAGGCAGCCTACATTAGCTCAGCAAACCAGAATGAAAGTGCTTGTTGGTGTCCAGTTGTCTTAACGAAAAGTCCTTTTTATGTTAATTATAAGTAAATGTTCCTCTCAACAACAATAGGCACATCATTAAAATGCTATCAGTTCCACAGAGTTGCTGCTCCAGTCTACACAATAATCAAAGGTGCTCACTGAACTCACTGTGTCTTTCTTTCATCAATTGCTCTTCAATGCTCAGCCCTACTCCTTTCAGCTCTATCACCTGCCACTGACAGTGTCACTAATGACTAAAAGTACTTAAGCATCAACACGGGACATTTTATCTTCAAAGCACTTCAACTTCAAAGCACATTAACAAATGAGCTAATCCTCATGTTATCCTGCTGGGTGGAGGAGCAAGGTCCCCAATTTTGCCTCCATTTCCCCACCTGCAATGAAATTAAGCGGTTAGCCCACAGCCGCAGCCACGTCAGGTATAAGCAGAAACACCAGCATAACAAGGAAGGCTGTAACGAGAGTTTTGCCCTCAGACACTGAAGTCTTGCTGCCTCACACTTGTATTTTTGAGATGTTGGTGTCCTAACGGCAGCAGCTTTTTCTCACTCCTTATGATACTGTGCTCTCCAGCCTACGCAGCTCTAGACTGGGACTCCTCAGTGATGAGATTTCCAAAGGCCCTTGTGAAGTGAAGAGGGATTTTCAGGGAGGAACAGAGCACTTGTATTCTTAATTAGAAAACATCAATTTGGTATCAGAAAGGCAAGAGGCGTTTAATATACAGCCAGCATGCTAACCTCTGGGTCTCAAGTGGTAGATGCTAATACAAAGCTTTCCAGATGAATCACTCCAACCCCAGATGGGCCAGAGGAATCTGCGGTTCCCTCTCCCACAAAATGTGAGCACTTCATATTTCAGAAGTACTATGGAAAACAATATGAGCTTCCAGAAAAACATCAGATGGGTATGTGCTGTTTAAAAATGCAGCAGAATGTGCTATTTAATAAAAAAAAAAAAAAAAAAAGG